CTTTCTTTTTTTTTTTTTTTGCAACTTTTCCTCGGTTGCTCAAAGGCGACCGCCTTTCACGAATGTAAAAAAAAAAAAGAAAAAAATATAAAAAAAGATAAAAAAAGAAAAAGGAAATGGAAGGATGGCTGATGAGCGAAACTCGGCACGGAATATCTTGGCAGAAGGGAATTTTTGCGGATAAGTTTTTCCGTGGACCGGTGGAAAGGTGGGAAAAATTGTCGAAGATTCCTTCTTTTTTTCTCTCTTTTTTTTTATTTTATTTTATTTCTCTGCTAAGACGTGGAATTTTTATTCCATCCTCCCCTCGACGACTGGACGACAGTCACGATATTTCTTGGTGGAAAGATTCGCAATTAAAAAGTCTGAGGATGGTGCAACGCATCCACGTTGGGGAAGGGATGAAGTTTCGTCTTATATTGACACGAAACGAGGCGAGATTATGCTATCGCTCGGATGGAGGCGGTGAAAGATAATAGTTGGACGATTTTTCGATAATTCCTTCCGTTTAACGAATACCTTTGGGCGCCTTCTTCGAAGAGTGTGCACCTGTCTTTTTTAAGAGAAGAAGAATGCCACGATATTGCGAAAATTTTCTGTTGCGTGAATAGAAATGAAAAGTTTCTTTTTTTTTTTCGCTAAAATACTTTTCATTTTCTATTTAAGATTCAATGATTAATTTGGAAACTCGTGATTAGAATTATTATTAAGTAAGTCATTTCAATTTATATTACATCACAATTGGACAAGTAACAATTTTCGAAAGATGTGGATTAAAAATTGATCGGAATTGAATATTGTTCTTCAAACTTCTTTTATCAGCATATACATACAAATTCGTAAAGATGATGGAAATCCTTTTGGACGATATGAATTCGTGAGATTGTTCGAGGAAGAGGAAGAATTTAACATTGGAAACATTGTCCAAAAAATATTTAAAAATCGATCTCCGACATCTCGCTCGATTTCTCGCCTCCTGATACCACTCCTGTTCAAAATTCAATATCCTGGAAAACACGTCGCCGATATTATGATATTTCTAAGCTCATAATACCGTAACATCGCACGGCATGATACGAGAATTCAGTGGAGGGTGTCTAGGAAAAAGAGGGGTTAAATAAAAGGGGGGTTGAGGATCAGGAGAGGATCCCCTATTGGAGGACCTTTAATACAAAGTCCCCCGTGCCACTATCTTCCCCCTCGCCTGTTGAAAACATTCTGAATACGTTTAATATCCACATTGCAGTTATGATAACGGGTGTCTTGGAAAAAATGTATTCAATTTATTGCCATTTGTTTCTTCGATTCGATTTCTCGGTTGTAAAAAATTATTCTTTCGCTATTGTGAGAAAAGTTGAATCGCATTTTATTCTTTCTATTAATTTTTCGTGGAAATTATTCCAATTTCGGTATGATAAAAATTCGATTGAAAGAATATCAAGAATTTGTTCAATAGAAGATTAAGACAGATTTGGAAAGAATGAACGAGGGAATTTATTTATTAACAATGAATAATATCAACAATTTAAACAACTAAAATGAGCTGGACAAAAAATTTTTAGAAAAAATTCGATTTTCCATTAATAACTTTCGTCCAAAGTGGTCTCGAAAAAAAAATCGAAATAATATCCGACAAGTGGAGAGTTTCTAACATCCGCAGAAAAATCCACCGTAAAATTCTATCGAAATATACCATATAATAGTTCTATTATTTGCCTGAACAGGTATATAATTACCTCGTTAAATCGATGGAAACCAGAAGGAAGTAGAAAGAGGGCGTTGAAGAGTCTCGACACGTCTTTCATCCTTCGAAACGGTTAAATTGAATTTACACGACGTCGTACACAGAGGAGGGAAAGGGCAAGAAAAGCAACGGCTATTTCACCTGAGGGATGCCTTTAAACCGAAACGTGCCGCGATAATGTAACACGGCCTGGATAATGGAACTTATGATATATCATGGCGGCAGTATGGATCGAATCATCCCGCATTCACCCCATCGTCCTCCACCACGCGTTCCAATATCATCGCTTAAAGCTTTTACCCGACAACGATGCAAATTAAAACGTATCTCTGAGCAAGGAAACAATAGATTTATCTTTAACATTCTCACAATGAAAGATGACATCTATTTCTTCTCTATAGTCGCAAAATTTATCAACATATCAACATTCTATTATTTTTCTCATATCGTTCGATATTAATGATGATATGAATTCCAAGTTTGAAAAATGAATTCCAATTTCCAAAGGAATCTTATAAATCTTATATAAAAAAAAAAAAAAAGAACAAACAAACAAAGGAAAAATTTCGTGGTGGTGAAAAGAATCGATACGATTCTCGGATTATTATCAAGGTTCACGAGACGCTCCCGGCTATTTATCTCTGTGGACAAATTTTATTATCGCCGCGGTGGCCGGAGAGAATTTCCATTGCGCGTAAAAAGGGAGAGGGATCGTGGGGCGGCAGGGGCACGTTTCACGCCTTCCGAGAAATCCTTAAAGCCGTTTAAGCCCTGCGGTGACGTCGGATCTCACGTAGCCAGGGTGGAGGCGGAACCGGAACCGCGCGGCGTTCAACGACGGATGAATGGAGCTTAACTCTGCGGCCGTCGCGATTTGTACGCGTATTCGTTCACGTCGATTCGAATGGTTAATTCACCGATAATGCTTGCCCCTATTTTCTGATTAGGTAACACATCATCGTTAAATTTTATAAATTTCTTTTACATATTTTTTTTTTTTTCTCTAGTTCTAGAACTTTGCGTATGAAATTTTAAACGGTGATAAGTTTGACTTGTTAATGGGGATAAAATAATGGAAGGGCAAGGATTTTATGGATTTTCAAGAGAGTGGAATGTACGTAAGAATTGGTAATTTTTCGATATCATCGAAATCTAATCATTCATGATTTAGAGGAATTAAACGGACAATATGAAAATTAAATGTGAAAATAATAATATTCGCTTATAAGTTTGTCAAGACAAAGGCAATATAGATATATATTTTTATAAAATATAATGATACGAACGAATTTATCACGTATGATAAAAGTATGGTGGAAAAATATCGGATTCAAACGAGTCCGATAATGTTTATTAAGATTTATGAGAAAATAATCGTTTTCCATCCCATCGCATTTTTATCTATTTTCATTTCGCTTTTATCTCGATACCTTCCTTTCGCGCCCTTTTTTTTCTTCTTCCTGCCCTTTTCTTCCTTTTATCAGTTTGTTAAAGAATGTGAAATAAAATTGTTAAAAGAATGCGAGAGTTCGAAGTTACGAAGTGATGTAGCGCGTCTGACTACAAA